GCTCCTGAGCTGTCTGTGTGCTCCACAGGTTTACAAACCCAAAAGGATTATTTGCTTAGGTAATGCAGAAAAATCTCTCTGCAAGAGCTTAGAGAGCAAGGAAGGAATTCCTGCTAAATGCTAAACAGAAGTGCTGGGAAGACTCATCATGGGAAACAGAACCAGGAGGACAAGAACGCTTGGAATTAATCTGGAAGACATGAATGAGTGTCACCATGAAATCACCAACCACAAGTGACATTTAGCACATGGTAGAGACTCACTGTCAAATCTTATTAAGTGCATCCTTGTGCCACAGCAGACAGCTCTGCCCACAGATCAGAGACCACAGCATTACAGTGCAAAAATCATTCATGAGCCTGCTGCTGGCTCTGCAAGGAACCAGAGAATGAAGGAGAAAAAGGAACCCTAATGGAAATTTGTTCCCATCCTATAGAAACCTGGACTAACCAACATTCTGTCCAGTTCTCTCGCAGCCCTGGCACCAATTCCTACATGGATAAGTCAGGCAAACACTGCAGAAGCTGTGCTCCCCTCTCTGTGTCACTGGCCATACCTGGCACCACTGGTAACTGCTGAAAAGCCCAAAAATGGCACTCAACCTGCAGGAGCCTCTGGTGGAAGCAGTTTCAGTGAGGGGATGTCCCCTCCCTCCTGTCCTGCTGTCATGTGCATTGTGCATGCAAAGCTCATTCATTATTTTTCGTCTCTCCCCAGGCACTGATTAAAAGGGAGTCTCACCCAATTTCCCATCCTGTCCCATCCCCAGCAGTGTCCTGTCTCTCTCTCTGCTTTGGCAGCTGTTTTTCCTTCTCCTCCCGGCCCATTTGCCTGCTGTTGTCTGGCTAATTATTTTTACAAGGCTCAATAATTGCTGCAATCTTGCCCATTTTTCATCTCCTTCCTGCAGCAGCTGTGCTCCCTGGCTGCCCACCCTCCTCCTGCGGGGAGCAGGGTGCCAGAGCAAGGCTGTGCAGCCCAACCCTCTATTTACCTTTCCCTCAGTGGTCATTAGCCAGAGGAGCAGCTTTGGGAGTCACTTAGCAACAAACCAAAGCCCTGATGTCGCTGTGAGAAATTGCATCTCAGAAACTCCCAATTGCCTCATGCCCTGAGCCAAAGCATCCGGGGCCATGGAGCTCCATCCCTCAAAAACTGCTGCTTCTGGAGGATTGATCTTTGGTTCACTGGCAGATGAGGCAGCAGCAGAGTGATTTCTGATTAAAAATAATCCCCCATTCTTCAGTGATCACACTGGCTAGAGCTCAGGGCTCCTGCTGCCTCTCTAAGGTGCAGCATTGAACAAGAGCACAGCTCAGACACAGCCTAGGCGGCACAGCAGCCCCCTCAACCCAGTTATTCACCTATGAAGATGAATTACAGATTTTAGGCATCTTTTTCCACATTTTGCCATTTAGTTATGGTCAAACAAGCCATTTCCCTCCTCTCAAAACAGTGGGGAGGAAACATGGCAGTAAATACAGAAATCACACTGACAGCACAGTTCCTAATGCAACTTCTTGGTGTTTTAAGAATGCTGTCAGGCCCCTAAAAACAGAAGTCACAGCTCTTGAGAATTTTCAGTTCTTTGTGAATTTTCAGATAAAATTGACCCTGGCTCTCAGTTTGGGAACCACTTCCCTGAGAGTTCACTCTTGTCCAGCTGGGCAAGCTGCCCAGGGTCATGGAAAGGGAGGGCAGCTCCTCACTGGTGCTCTCCAAACCAGATCCTTCCTCATTTCCCACACTTGACAAACCTAGACTGCATGGTGGCTTTCCAGGCATCAGATCCCAGATTCTGCAGGAAGCAGCACCAGTGATTCAACGTTCAGCATCACCCTGACACTGAGTACCCCTGACTGGTTATCACAAGACTCCTAGAACATGATAAATTCTGGATTTGTCCATTCAAGAGCAGCAGAGGAAAACAACTCGAAGAGGAGGATGAATGGATCGTTCTGCTGCTGCCCAGCACCGAGCAGGGCACTCATGGGGAGCACACAGCACAGCACCCCCTCCCCAGAGCCACCTCTGTGGGACAGCACCGCACCTGGGAGCCCACAAACACGCCCTGCCTTTTCCAGAGCCTGCACCCAGACCTCCTGCAGGTGTTCCCAGGGGCTCCTTCCAACCGCCAGCCCTGTCCTGCTCTCTTGCAGCTTGTTGTTTCTAAGAGCAGTGGTGTGAAAAAACAGGAAGCCATGCAGAGCAGAGAGAGAATACAGATTGAGGCATGAAAGTGCAGTAGCCCCAGCTTCCCCTGCAGTCACCCCACCCCCTCTTCCCTTCCCACCCCCTCACCACAGGCCACATTCTCGATGAGAAACGCTCAGCCCTTGACGGGAAACCGGGTACGGAGCTGGCGGCTGGAGAGGAGGGAGGGGAAACCCAGCAGCAGCTCCCGGGCTCTGCTGGCCACAGGTGCCAGGAACGGCTCAAATCAGACCCTGCTCCACAGCTGCCTCATCCGAGCCTTCAGGGGAAAGCTCATAACTCCCTTATCCTCAAAAGTTCAGATTTGCTGCTTCAAAGATCCCCTGAGACCATTCTGCATTCTGGACCAGGCTGAGCTCTGTCCGTGGTTTGCTGCAATCCAAACAGGCGTTTGCACCACTCTATGCCCATGTAATTGTTTAAGGAATGAGGACTCTGAGTGACATCTCTCTATTGAAGAAAGCCAGCAGAACCTCTTGTCTACAGCTCTCCATTCACAGCTCTCCCAACTCACCCCACGCTGGCAAATTGTGACACAAATTTTATGTTTTGCAGGACTCTTCATTGCTCACACCCTTATCTCCTCAGTCTCCAACACAAGGCTGAGAGATGGAAAGGGTGGAGATGAAGAAACATCAAGAAGTTGGGGCAAAAACACTGGCAGGGGACAGAAAAGTCAAGCAAACCACCAAGTACAGGCCAGCACCAAAAACACACCAGCACCTCATCTTCCAAGGCAGAGAAAATATTCCCAGCTTCACCCAGCACATAACCTTGGCTGTGCTGTGTCTGGATAAAAGAGGAAAGGAGGAAATCTCTTGGGAAAGCTGGTGATGCTGAAAGCCAGGACAAAGCCAACCACCACACACAGCTTGGGCAGTGCTCCAAAATCCAGGGAATTCGGGTGGGATGAGCCTGCACAGCCTGGGCCAGTGCACAGGGGAAGGCACAAACAACTAGGAACCTCCCAGAGCCAGTGACAGCCCAGCATCAGATCAAGGCATCAACACACAGAGACATCAGCACTGCACCTTTGATCAATCAAAAGTCTTTTACATCCGTACTGACCCAGCCCCATGCAGATAATTTGTCCTGCTGTTCTACATAACACATAAAACCATTATTGATCACCAAAACCAAGGAGGAAGGACAGGCATGAGGCCACACAAAGGAGAGAATTAGACAGTCTGATATCTACTGGTGGGAAAGGGGATTGCTCTATTTCCTTAGTCCTGCCCAAAGCCTCTCTGCTGCTCACAAGGGGATGTGCTGGGCTGGAGTTTATTTATAAAACCTATAAGAATGTTGACCCAAGGCTATAACTCGGAGGAAAAATAAGCAGAGGTCAGGTTTTCTAAATGCAGTCACAAACCCCAGGGAGAATCTTACCAGCAAGGACCCTCAGCTTTCAGAACTCAGGAGAGGCCCCAGCACTTGTGATCAGCCAAGGACACTGCAAACCATGAGCCATGCCCTGGGTTAAGTGCAGCCCATGCTGCAGCTCTCTGTTCCAGCCACAGAATTCAGGCAGGGGCTGCAGGGAGCTTGAGTGAGCCTGAGGGGCATTCCCAGCACCTTTCCTTGCTGGCAGAGCCACCCAGCCTTCCCATGCTCTTGGATTGTTTTGTCTTTTTAAATCACTGATGAAGAGAGATGCTCCTACAAGTGGTGATTCAGAGCAGGGCCTTTATCTGAATGCTCTGAATCATTCTTTGTAAGAGACCATCCCTGCTGACAAGTGAAGCAGCCTCTGGAGAGGGCAGACAGCAGTGCTGATTAACTCTTGTGTGGTACACCAGAACACCCATGAAAGAGACTGGGCTGTTTGCTCTGCTCATCCAAACCTGCTCCAACAGAAAGCCAAGGCTGGTGCAGCTGGAGGAGGAAGAACACGCAGTCTGCAATCCAAACCCACAGATAACTCGTGTAGCCATGGCCATCCCTATTGTTCTGATCAGGAACCCATGAACTCCTCCTTACCTCGGGGAGGATTCCCCAGCCCAGCACGATGGGGATGCTGCTGGAGGGGCGGGCAGGAGGAGCCCGCAGATG